TATGTGTATGAGTGTATTGCCTGCATGTAAGTGCACCCATGTCGTGCAGTGTGGCAGAGGTCAGAAGAGAGTTTCAGATTTCCCTGGAACTGGAGTTAAGGACGGTTTGTAGCCTCCATGTGGGTGCTAGGAATCAAACCCAGGTCCTCTGCAAGAGCAGTCAATGCTCTTAACTACTGAGCTATCTCTCCAGCCCACTTTTTTTTTTTTGTCTTTTTTGAGACAGGGTCTTCAGCATGGTCTAAGACACCTTCTAAGACCTCCCAAAACAGGAGCACCAACTGGTGCAAAATAGCCAAATGCTTGGAATCTATGGGGGCATTCAAACCACCACTGTATTTATCTAATTTTGAGACAGGTTCTCTGTTAGCTCAGGCTGTCTTTAATCTTGCTATGTAGCTGAACTGACCTTGAACTTCTGTCCTCCTGTCTCCACCTCCCAAATCCTGGGATTACAAACGTGTACCACCAAATCAGGCTGAGCTTGAACTTTCCTCCTACCTCAGTACTCTGAGCGCTGATACCACAGGTATCACCATACCCGACTTTACATAGGAACCTATGATGCCAGGTGTGGAAAGCAGTTCTGGTGCTCAGGTATGGGGCCTGTGGTTCAGGGTCAGAGGTTCAGGGTCAGGGCCTGTGTCTCTCCTGGCTGGTCAGGTTTCAAGCTTTGGGATGTGGCTTCTCGATCCCAAGACCTATGACAAGCCTCTACTGGACAAAGACTGAACCACAGTGCCCTCTGGTGGCCAAAGGTTCCAGGTTGAAAAGAATCCATCAAATGTCTAAGAATAGCATTGGTCCCCAGAATTTGAGTAACAGAAAGAGCAGGAATCAAGGATGAAAGAGGACAGAACAGGACCTTTGTGCATCTGGGAAGGTCAAGGGGACAGGCTTCAAAGGGTTTCACACATAGGTCACCCAGAAATGCCATCAAGTGGCTGAGTCAAGGAGATCCCTTAATACTGAATTCTCTCTCTCTCTCTCTCTCTCTCTCTCTCTCTCTCTCTCTCTCTCTCTCTCTCAGGCTGGCCTCCAAGTTTCTATGTAACTAATACAGGGGTTGAATTCATGATCCTCCTGTCATCCTCCTGGGAGCTGAGATTACCAGCCTGTGCCACCATGCCCTGCTCCCTGCTGTAATCTTTCCCTTCTCTCTGTCTTGAAGCTACAGCCTACAGCCTGGAACTCTCCGCTGGGAGATAGACATAATACATCAGGCCCCAACCTTCCACCACCTCAAGTTGTCCAAGAGTCTGTGTTTAGGAGAGCCCAGTTCACCCACTTTACTGCCTCTGCTTGCTGGGCCTGTGCCTCAGAGCTGCACAGGAACATAAGGCATGGGACGAACTGATATTTTTACTTATTTGATAATAAATTTTGAGCACCTGCTGTCTGTCATACTGTGTTTTAGGAAGTGGGGACGTGGCTGTGAATGGAAACAATAAACCCTTTACAGAGCCAGCACTCTAACAAGTGGAGGCATACAATGAATCAA